TCCCTAATAAACCACTGGTAGCCAAAGGTATGCAAATATCTTGGGGGTAACTATAATAAAGTTATCCTACAACTTCCTTGCCCTATGGCTGCAGCATTAGCATAGGCAACTCTGAACCTTTGCACTCTCCTACGAGTCTCAGCGATTCAGGAACATGACTAAGGGAGATGAGTAAAGGAAAAAAAAACACCGTGCCTTTTGTGACACGTGTGTTGGACAAATAAAGTTATATTGGACAGATGTGTGAATTTTTTTCAGCTGTGATGATGTACCTTTACTGATACTCATTTATTTTGGATAGAAAAAAAGCTCATTTGACTTGTTACTTCATATAGAGACATCAACCACAATGTTTTGTACTAGTTATAATTTTTATAAATTTCACACAAGGTGTGGTTCTACACAGGTCAGAATGGCCTAATTACAGGAAGTTCATTTGCACACTTTCTTCTTGTAATAAATTCATACATTCTGTCTTGACTGGAAAAAAAGGACAGGTAATTCTGTGCTCTATGTCTGATTATCTCTCATCAGTCACAATATACAAATACATCATTATCAACACCATGGAAAATATGTAAGAAAAACAAACTGTACCAATTCTCAGCTGGGGAGAGGAAATCTTAGCAGCTATTTCAGCTCCAGCTGCAAGAAGAAATACACAATTTGGCTTTTTTTTCTTCTTATATATTTCTAATCATATATATATTTGAAGTCAGGCTTTGAGTATTTTCGGAAAGTATACAAATACATCATTATCAACACCATGGAAAATATGTAAGAAAAACAAACTGTACCAATTCTCAGCTGGGGAGAGGAAATCTTAGCAGCTATTTCAGCTCCAGCTGCAAGAAGAAATACACAATTTGGCTTTTTTTTCTTCTTATATATTTCTAATCATATATATATTTGAAGTCAGGCTTTGAGTATTTTCGGAAAGGAAGTGCATGGCCTTTCTCATACTCGATCCTGTTTGAAATCTCAAGAGTCTAAGAAAATTATGGATAATAAAATGGCTTTTCATCACATACACAACCAGAATATAAGACACACAGACAGCTTTGTTGTCACTGGCAAGAAAAGCCAATGTTCAGACATGGTTTGGCCGCAGCCATTTATGATCCAGACGACGACCATTGCTCTGATTCTCCACCCAGTAGGGTTAGACGTGAGAGAAGGAGAGGATCAGGCCTGATTACATTTTAGCCCGGTTTACTAAAAGCAAGACTTGTGTATCTTGCAACTGCCCGTCTATCTGTTTGTCATTACCGCCAGTAAGGAAGGAGTCTGTTGCTCAGCTACACCCGCCTGAGCAGAGGGCAGGGTTTTGAGGATGTGAAGTTTGTGCAAGTTTCACAGAAGATGGCAGCAGAGCAGAGGGAGGAGATCCAAGTCAAAACCTCAGCCCGGAGGGCAGGTCTCACTAGTCCGGACCTGGAGAGAACAGCCAGGCAGCTGGTCAAGCAGCAAGGGCACATTGCTCAACCAGGAGTGCTGCTACAGCATAGGTTTACCTTGGACCTTGTCTCTTCTACAATTGAAACTTAGTGGCAACCTTTACTTTTAAATGACTTTCTGGTCACTATATCATCTCCAAACAAGACTGAAATGAAATCTGTATTTGAAAACTATGTTTTTTAGGTCCATCTACCTGAAAATGATGGTGTCAAACACCTACATACAGAATAAGTATACCTTAATGTACACATTAGTCTTGCTAGACATTACCAAATCATACTCTAGACTGTACATGGAGATTCATTCCCTTAATTATCACCTTGCTTGACAGAAATACACTAATTAAAAGACTATCCTGTCTACTATTAAAAAAAAAAAAAGTCTTCAAACCCCATTTTGTCTCGTCAGCAAAGCGAGAAGGTTACTTCTTGTTGGCTGCCCTCAGACTTGTCAGCAGCCTGATCTGTCATTAAACTTCATTCCCTAAAAAAGCAACCCCAGCAGTGTGGCACTGTCTCACTGACGTCTGCACCGCAGGCATCAACCAGGCAAAGGGCCCCGGTTACTCCCCAGCAGCAGCTGCAATGGGAGCAGCACGGTCTGAGTCTGGGCTGTGGAAACAGAAACAGGCAGCTGCCTTTGGCTCGCCGGCACTGCAGGAAGGTTAAAGACACAATTAACGGTTGTGGGCTCCCTGCTTAGGTTCAGTAGTGTCCGAGGATAGCTGTGATACAATCAGCTCCCAAGGACCGCTGAGACCAGAGTGCTGTGGCACTGCTGCACACAGCCATGGGGCAGTCAGTTACTCGTCATCCTCAGGACATTCATGGTGCAGGAGTGACTTCGTCCAACAGGATAAAACATGAGATTTTGGAGGAAAAAAAAAGAAAAATTGTTTTCAAAAGCAAAGTATGGAGGAGAATCGTTATAATCCAGCCCATACCTTTGCAGTTGTCATGATGAGATGGTGAGCTGGGAGAGAGAAGACACTCCTGCAGCAATCCTCTTCCCTGCTCCAGCTCTAGACTGCCCCACAGGATGCCACCACTGACACTCATGGTGGGCACAGCGGGACATACGGGGTTGAATGCTTTGCTCTCCCCTGGAGGGTCCCCGATTTTTGCATACATGCTAAAATTTAGCATCAGAATTCGACACGTGGGAAATCCAGTCGCTCCCATTTTACAGGAAGATATCGAGACACCAGGGGATATAGGACTAGCACACTGTCACCCTGCACACAGCAGAGGTAGGAGATGGACTGACAATACCTGATTTTCCATCTTCAATTTGCACAGAGACTTCCCACTGCCATTTCACTGTTAGAATGAGATTCCTCGAAGGAAACTCCAAAGTGCAGGTTTGCATTTTTCCATCTGTCAGCAATGTCACAAATCCTAGTTTTGGCAATTTCATATACCCAGGGTAACCCTTCCCCATCTCTCTCACACACACACAAAAGCTTGCTATACTTATTAATGTGCAATCAAAGCTCCCTACCCCTTTCCTCTCCTATGCTTAGGGCAGGGGTAGACAGAAGCACTGTTATCAGGCCGTGCAAAAATTACTGAAAGTAATACAGAAACCAAAATGAACTCATTTTAGGGAGAGGATAAAATAATTGCACTACAAGAAAACGACACTGCAAGTTTCCTTAGGGGACTGAAAGGAATCAATTCTTCCCTCAAGATGCTCGTAACTACAGTAGACTAACAGGATTCACGTTCCTGAGAACCTACGTGTCATTTTTAAGGTAAATGACCAGCACAAAACAGACAAGCTCTTATCTCTATAAGACAAAATTAGCTTCCAGAAAGGTACAGAACTCTCAGGTCCTTTAGTCATGAACGGAAAATGTCAGAAAACACAGCACTTAGATATTGAGGGTTAGAAGAACCATAGGAATTAACCACCACGGTGCAACTCATAATTAACCAATAAGCCTTCACAGGCAAACAAAATCTGAATAAGCCTTTACCTACTCCAAAGCTTTTTCTTGAATGGGACTATCTACCTGCTTCACACCTATCCTGACTCACACACTAAGATATTTGCAATGGCAGCTTCCACTGAGACACAAAGAAAAGCATTCAGGTCCCTGCAAAGATGATAGCAGAAATGATACAGACTCCTATTTTGCTCAGAGGCTCAATTACTAAAGAGTGGGTTTTGGTTTTGCTTCATTTCCATTTTCAGTGCTTTTGTCCCCTTTGTTACTTACATAGAGCACCGCTAGACTCAGGGTTAAACAAAAAATCCCTAATAGTGAAAGCCAATCACTCACTCTTGAGCTTCTAGGGTCATTTTTACCAGGCTGATCTTTGCCTGTTTGCAACCCTTAGTCAATACATATCTTTACTAAAGTATTAGCAGCTTTTGTGGGACCTAAGACCCAATTACCATCAAAATGCCTTACACCCTTAACAGCTGCTCTAAATGAGCTAATGGCTTGTATAGGAATAATAACATCTGTAATCACTTTATGTTATACATTACATCCTTATGTGGCAGAGATTTGGTACAGTCCTTTAATCAAATGTCCTGGAAAGAAGTCTTTAACAACAACACTTATCCACTCATTGGAGCATCTAATGCTTACCGCCTATTTGCAATGCTTAAGTATATTCCAAATGGGGGATGAAATGTATCTACTCCATAGCCCAGCACAGAAAGAAAGCATGCAATCTACTCAAACATATGACATTAAATGGCATTCAATTGAATTCTCGGCACCAAATACAAAGGATTGTGATCCAGCAACTACAGACTGCAGAGGGGGTAGAGGAATGACCTATATTGTAAAAAGAGTTCAAAATGTTCTTTGTCACAGTAGCTGTCACATGTCTTTGCTTCCCTGCTAAGCCATGCACCTCCATCTTGTAGCCAGGAGTTGCCATCTGCATCATTCCAACATAATGCTGTATGCAGCAGGTCGTGCACCGTGCCATCGCAAGAGTAGTCACGTCATTGCTGCGCGAAGCCTCTCTGATGGTCCAAGTCAGAAGTTTCCTTTCCACAGCCACCCTAAAATGGGATGTTTTTGGTGTTGACCATCAGCAAAAAGGGCACATTTGTGATGTATCAGCTGGAATCAAGGAGGATGGGGAAGGCACAGCCAGAGGCAAGCAAATGGAAAACCCTCCAGGTGACCCCATGGTAGAGCAAGAACTCGTAACCATGCGTGTGTCCCTCTGCAGTAACTCGGTGTTCAAGCAAAGTTGCCAAAAGGTGCGTGCATAGTAACTCTTCAGCTCTGCTGTCGACCTAATTTAGGCCACATCTTCTGAAACAGTTTGATAATCAATGCGAGAAGCATTTTTCTCCTCTAATACTGAAGGTGGGTTTTGATGCTTTCTGGATGTTTAATGCTCCTTTTGTTTTTCCCAGCTTGCCAGGTGGACAGCACAGTTCTCATCTGTTCATGCTGATAAAGTTTTAGTGAATTATGAACCTCAGAGCTTGTGAGAAAGGCAACTTTGATCCAGTGTCCACCCAAAATAAACAGAGATGGATGGGGTCCTGAGGAAGGCTGGTCCTGCTGTTCAGCTGCCAGCCCTCTGTTCTGCTGGGAAGCTTTTGGCCACTTCGCTCTCCTTGGTGTCTGACTCTACTGAGGCTGTACTGCAGGAATCGTTGTAAATGTCTGAAAAGGAGGACATGGGCATTGTCACTACAATACATCTAAAGGATTTCCCATTTACAGTCTTGAGGTTCATTGTTAAAAGCCTGAAATAAAATAAAAAATAAATAATCACAATTCTACTGCTCTCCTAATTCCTTTACTAAAGGCAAGGGAGGCTCTTGGCATGTAACTAACTGTAATGTGTGTGTGGCTTTATTTTTCTTTTAAAGCATTAGACATGCCAAAGAAATGAGAGCCATAGTTAGGCACTGAGGGTGAAGACAGAACTGACCTGCTGTGGAGGTGAAGGAGCAGCAGTTAACTCCCTTTAAACCACAGCAAAGAATCCTGGTTAACTTTCAGAAAGGTTTTTCTCCACTTTAACAAACTGACCAAAAAAAAAAAAAAAACCCAAAAGAAACCAGTAACTCAGAATAAAACGCTGGTAGCTCTCTATTGCAGGTCCCCAGGGAATGGCTGTGCCAGATTTTGCTTTCTTCTGTTACCAGAAGAAAAGCAGGACACATTTTGGTAAATTATATTTAAGGATGGGCAAAATTAATCTAAAATTGTAAACCTTTGATCTGAAGAGTTGCTGAGATTCAGCTTTTCCAGTGCAACCTGTTTGGGTGTTAGGTCAGAACCAAAGCTGAAGAAAGGATGACTTTTAGTGCTGATTTGGCTGAAATCTCGCCAGAGCAGCCCTTCCTCCAGCCTTTGGAGCCAGCAGTGAAATATGATGAAAGCCGTAATGGTTCATGAGATTTTAATGTTTTCAAACCTAGACCAAGAACCACAGCCCTGATGCTGATCTAAATCCAAAAGCTACCTCTGTCAGGATGAAAGCTATCCTGCGGTTACAACACACCCTGCCATATGACTTGGGCTAGCTGTAAAGTAGCCAGCCTGACTACTGGTAGCCACAGGAGTTTGGTGGGAGCTTCAAGTTCTGCCCAGGAAGGGAAAAACAATTAAACCATGCCATGGTAGGCCACTGTGCCTAACTAGCTCTGACACCCATGGCACCAAATTTCAGGCTAGCTCAGCTGCATCACCAGAGACTGCAGCACAGACATACACTCAGGCTGAGTACTTTAATACAGAAAGTGCACTGTTTATCACATCCTTTTTTATCACATTCTTTTTGAGTATGAAAAAAAAAATTAAATGCCAGTGACACATTTCTCTATTACCTGCATTGCTGTTCTTAATTATGTTGTTACTGTCCCCCTCTGCTGGCTGCAATATACTGGAAGGAACCCAGTCGCTTTTCTCAGAGACCAGTTTCTTCACTAACCTGAAATTCAGACAACAGTCAGTGAATTTCACTACATTCCCTTTCCCTGGGTTGTGTTTCTTAGAGGTGCATGTTGGGCAGCTATTTCCTAAGCTAAAGAAGAAGGCAGAGGACCCAGGGCAGTCCTACAGCTAGCCGGTGACTAAGTTTCAAGCTCACTTGCAAGCAGACTGTGTGACAAGGAAGCAATGGCCTTGGCCTGAATTTGAGACCCTGGACCAAATTCAGAGCTGAAGAAAATGAATCTTTCATATTGACCATCCCCCTTGGTGTAAATACCATCTGGGGTGGATGGGTTTAGTTCACTTCCCACCTACTTCACCCTATGGGACTTGCTCCCGTCTCAGCTGCATGTCAGTTCTGAATGATGGGTCTGACTGCATGGGCACTTCAAGGAGATCAGATCTTCTTCCTGCAAATTACCCATGGAAGGAGAATTCAGATGTCCAGCCAGGTCTGTTCCTAACACTCACTTGTCAGCAAGAGACAATAAACACTCCGTGAGCTCAAGGGGGCCAGATTCATTCCACTCTGTCAATCACATCTTATATCTAAGCCTTTGGGGCTAAAAATGCTCTCTGGTTCACTGCTGCAGCTCGATGGAAGGCATAGGGATTTTATTGATATATCCAATGGGAGGGTGCTGCCTTTGACAGTTGTCCTTCTAGCTGGAAGGTGTCAAAAGCCCAAATATTGCCCTCCATTTCCTTTATGCAAACTTCTGTCCCCTTAAGCCTCATGTCACAAGCATTTGGGATGAAAGCCAACCAGGTGGAATTAACCAAAGCTGCTTGTATATTCATGCTTCCCACTCCCTCTTTCACATTGTGGTCAATGGGGTGAGTGGATTTGGATTGATTTTGAAGAGGCTTTGACATTCTTCTGAATATTTTCCATCTTTTCCAGGAGGTTATGGCTGTTCTACCTGTCAAATTCTGTCTCTCTGCTGTACTTACCATTGACCGTTCTCTCCTTCCTGCACAAACTGCACTAAATCTCCATCCTCGAGTGTAAGAGAATCTGGGAAACAGCTGTCAAAACTGCCTTCTACCCGAAAAAGATTGGTCCCCTAAAATGAATGAAACAATGCACCAGAAATACAGTCACTGCGGATGAAAGAACACTGTGCAAGAGAGAGCGGGTTAAGTTAAATACTGAATTAGGCATTTCAAGGTGGCAGAGATTTCTTCTGTAGGGTATTGTGTCACTTTTTATTCCTTTTATCATGCCCAGGTTAAATATTATTCAAACTTAGGACAGAACTGTGCTGTGCATTCAGGCTTTAGAATTATTCTGCCGGCCATTATTCTGATACAGAAATTGCGTTTGTGACACCAGCTTAAGTTATCTGGAAAAGTCTGAAATTACTTTTTTAAAGGCTCAGAGTTTTCCCTCACTTTTGTAGGAGGTAAAGCTACAGCCTACAAGTAAGGGTGACTTTTTGTGGTCCTGATCCTGATGAACAAAATAGTCTTGGAATAATCTCCCAACACCCCAGATCAAATTCCCATCTTCTCTATTCCCACACATCCATGAATTTAAGGCTGGTATGACCCCAACTTTGCAGGTTAAATTGTGATCTTTAGAGAAGAGAAGGTTGCACTGGGAAAGAGCAGTGTAATTTGAAAAAGGAATTACATTGTTAGGGTTGGTCTCTTCCTCCAAGTCAGAAGAGTTGGAGAGTTCATCTGTGCTGGAGGGGATGGCTTCAAAATCTTCAAATGTGTCTAGAGATGGCATTTGCCTGCTGGGCCAACCTTTTCAAAGAAGATAAAACAAAAAGAGTTAGCTATCGGTCATTACCCTCTTTCAGACTCAGTCTTTTAAAAATTAATGTCACAGGTTCACTTCCCACTATTCCACTTACTGAATTGCTTGTACCTTTCTACAGGTTGTTCCCTGATTTTGCCCTAAAAATTACGTTGCAGCCATTATTCTGTCTCTAAAAACCTGTTCCACTTGCTGTCATCTGTGGGAGGGCAGATTGTGTGGCCACAGTGTGCATGCCCATCAATACCTTGAGTGTTTAGCATTGCTAAATCTCTTCAGTTCAGGAGGTACAAAAAGCAAGGACCAGGAATATTTCTGCAGAGCGAGCGCTGTAGCAAATGATAACTTTTGCTGACATGATTTTCAGAAAGCCATGCTCATTCAGTTTCCAGCTTTTATCTATAAATGCTTATCTATATGTTTATCTATAAATTGAAGTCCAAAGCCATTGAATTTTGGTTGACTTCTTATCTCCATCTCACCCCAAGGAGATATTACCACCTGAGCAACGTACAAGACTATACCCTGGAGCAGGCTGGAAGTGCAGGGAAGGGACAGAACAAACAACAAGGCACAAAAACAACCAGACCTTGGTGGTAGGTAGAGAAGATCTCATTAATATTTCTGCTGTTAGCAGTCTTATATTGCATGATTTGCATCCAAAAACACCCCAGCCCAGTGGAAGGGGCTTAATGAGAGATTTCCAGCCCAAGCACAACAACCCAGTGCAAAGGCAGGCCCAGAGGATGTGTCCTGAGGGAAATTCAGGCTGAGCCTTGTAAGACCTGCCTGCCTGAGGCTCCCATGATGGAAAAGTAACTCAGCCTCTTCTGTACAGATGGCAATCGTGATCTACGCTTTCCTTCACACTTGATGCCTGTCCCTTTTCTGACGGGGATGACTACAGTCCAGCTAGGAGGAAACAGACCTTGCATCTATCAAAGGATTCTGCAGCCCTGACAGATACAAGCTGAATGGAGTCAGTGAAATCACCATGTGCCTTCCTACCTAATGTACCTACTGTGCATTAGCTGATTCACAGGGACTTGGGCTCAGCAGATGCTGAATCAAGTTCTTTACAGCCAAGCAGTGCTCTGACAACAAGGCAAGGAGACAGATGCTCATGCAGTGGGATTATGCATAACCCAGCACTCACAACCCACAGCAAAACCTGGCCTGAGACAATACAAAAGCCAGGCAGTTCAGGCAGTAAACAGAAAAGCGATCTGATCTGAGAGAAATAGGTTTATTAAGCGAATTACTTAATCCCTCCCCATGCACGTCCTCCCTGCTACAGGCATTGGTTGGTGCAACACGTGGTCATGCAGCTCTGCAGCCCCTTCTCCTCCCTCCTGTTACCCAGGGGCTGTAACGGCCCCGACCACTGCAATTCAGTTACAAGAGAGACAGTGACCTTCTGCCACCAGAGCAGCATCCCCAGTTATAACCCTACAGGTATGGTTAGGTCATCCCTACTTTTCAAGGTGTAAACTAGCCTCTGACGTGCCTTTCTTGTGCTGGGCAGTGAGTGTCCCTGCCAAGGTCTATACCAACCGAGTTTTGAGACCAAAAAGACAATTTCAGTTACAGACTATGCAGCATATAGAACTGGATCCCATATTCTGTATCAGCTGAATCACACCAGCAAAATACTAGCAACTGTCTAAATGTACAAGAATACATTGATGCTAATTAGCTTTAAACTGCTGTAGCAATTTTAGTTCAAATTCACAGGTTGGCCCACAAACACAAAAAGAAAAAGATATCCCCTTCCCACTTAAGACAAAGCTTCAGTGATCTTTGGCCACTGTCATTTGTAGAAAGCATCCAAGGCAGAAACCTAAACAGCAAGTATTCCTTACAAATACATGCATCAGCCTTCCTCTTCCATACAAATTGCTATTCTAATTTCAGAGACTAAGAAATAGCCTAAGTTTTATGTACTTAATTCAAACTATAAAATAACACAGATCAAATTCTGAGCTCTCTGACATCAATTAAAAGAATTGTTTTCAGCTGTGCCTGACCTACAGAAAATCAGAATCTGGAACATTGTTTCTATACCTGCTAGTGATCCAAACTTGTTCTTTTATTGCTTTCATGGGAAATAATATTCATTAAAAGAGAAAAATCTCTTTAAGTTAAAGAGAGTAAATATTATCATAAGTTTATATTACACTCTCAAATTGAGATGATAAATGTTTTAATTTTGTTTACCTGTCTGTGAAGCAGATCTAGGTACAGGTCTCGTGGTGGAACCGGTATTACATTTAGTCTGGGCCAATATGGTGTTCTCAAATGCATCTGTGACAGGAAGTACAATTTTGTGTCTTCAAGGTGAAACAGTGACCAGTCAACCAGTACAAAGTGAATTCCTGTATCACCCTCTGCAACTGGTAGTCTCTTTAACAAACAGGTGGACTGGGGTCCAACAGTTACAAAAGAGGAGACACATGACCAGCACAAATGAGTGAAAAGACAGCAGCATTCCACAGAAAAACTGTAAGTCTGAGAAGGACAGAGAACAGCCAAATGAATCAAACAGAAATATCGATGTTAATTAAGGAAAACGATTGCTGGGTGAACAGTGCAGTGTTCTATTTCACTACAGCTTCTTTACACATTTTTAACATATTTTCCTTGCAGCATTTCAAATCATTCTGTAGGTGATAGTATATGATTTTGAACTCCATCCATACAGCAATGAAAGGGGACCAGGGAGGGTCTTCTTCCCAGCCAGAAATGAATGATCTCACTCTTGATTAAAGCAACACAATTTTGGGGGGGAAGTTTTTATCTAAGTAAATCAAATCCTTTGAGTTAACTCTGTCAGAGCTCTGGCAATAGCAGCAATATCTTCTGCTAAAGGGATGACAATGTTCATTGTTTCCTACTTAAAGAAACTCAGTCTGGTGAGGAATGCTGTGCAGTAGGACCATGTTTTTAACCAGTGAGGATCAACTCAGCTCTATCCTACGGATAGTACTTGCACTTTGAAATACCCCCTGTCTCTGCAGCCACATGGTATGCTGAGATCAGAAGTATCTGTAATTGAGGAAAGTGAGGTATAAACACCACAGTTTGGGAAACTCTGGTGCTGGGTGCCAGGATGATTCCAAACTTAGTGCCAGGGGCCACTGGCAAGAGGAAATATTCTGCAAACAGCAAAACCACTATTTCCTCTGCTGCCTCTGAACTGTTTCTTCCAACCTCTGTTTCCAGTGTCCTCTTCTACTGGGAGTGACATAGGAGATGATAGTTCCGGTATGTCACCAATTCCATCACTGACCTGGCCACGTGCCCTTTCTACTGACCTTTGGTACAGAGCAACACAATCCTAAGAAAGGATTCCTCAGCTTACATCTCTCTCCTCCCTGTCCTGCAGCAAGGGTACCCGACTGCTTGTGCCCCACAAGGCGACATGCTCTGGCAAATCCTATTCTAAAGGGAAAAGCTGACAATGGAAGCTGGTGATTTTCCAGTGGCTGGGCAATAACATCCCAGTTTAACTCTTTGGTATTGTTTATTAAACAGTAATTGATGAATCTGCTGCAACAAATAGGTGGAAATTCTGCTTGGCTGAAATGAAACACTGCACTTCAAATGGATATTAATGCACAGTCTAGTCTCTCCTCTAGTCTTCATGCACATGGTTCCTGCTCCTCTTATTAGGTATAGACACTAACAAGGGAAGAGGGATGCAAGCGGCCAGACTGCAGGTGAAGGTGAAAAGTAGCCCCTTGGCTCCCTGCTGCTGCGTTCTACGGAGTGAGGTAGAAGCCAGGCAGAAAATCCAGATCCAGATCACAGTCTAGAGCATTACTTCCCAAAACAGGCAGAGAACTGGGGTTTTAATTTAGGCCCATCCCTAGGTAAAAGTTGGTAAATATAACATGAGTGCAGGGGACAGGCAAGGGGGTGACAAGCTGTGTTTATCACAGTTAAACAAATAAACTGACACCAAACCCCTAATGGACTCCAGTGTCGTCTGCCAGCAGTGATGAGATGTGAAATCAGTGAGTAATATCAAAAGATTGCCAAACAGGTTTTCATGCAGCATGGAAATACTCATACCTTCAAACCCCAGGGGAGTTGGGTCACTCTTTATTTCATGTCTCTTGACTTTAACTGCAGGAACAAGGGGACCTGTGTGAAGTTTGCAGAGTCACAAGGCTGTAAATATTGTTAAAGGAGAAACTTGCTTTCCCATTACCTGGAAACACTACCTGCCTAACATTTTCCGTTTCACCCAGAAAAATGACCAACCCCTAAATTTTAAGTGGTGAAGATAAACACTTCTTTGATGTGGATAGGAAACAGGCCCCTTTTTGCAAAAGGCCTTAAGACATAGTAAATGTATCTGCTTCCAATGAGGTTTCACAGAAGTTTTCTCTCGTGCTTGTCCAGGAGATGGCACTAACCCAGGTAGACTCACAATCTCAGCTTTCTACCCATGAGGCTGGTAGGGAAGAGCCCACAAAAGCCAACACTTCTGCCCCACAGAAGTGGAGGGCATCCATCACAGGTCCCCGTACAGTGCTTCTCCTGTGTCCTGACCCCACATGTGGAGGACTGGTGATGTGACGGAGCTGAGCTGCTAGCAGTGAGGATCAGTGCACAGCAGTATGCAGTAGCCTTTAATGAGACTATCCAAACACCCTGGCTAGACCTGCATTTGGCTAATGCTGAGACAAGACTCAGGCTTCAGTTCTTTTGTCATCTGAAATATTTTCTTAAAGCAGATGCTGTAAATAAAACACTTAATTGAAAAGCACTGATTTTGTTTTCTAGCGTTTAAAATCATTACAAAAGTAGTTTGCTCAGCATTCCAAAAAATTGCCAATAGTCTTATGGTGGACAGGATCCTAGGACAGGATTTTTTTTATATGAAACTGTAACAAAGTTTGAATTTCATTGTAATTCACGCATGGTCTCTTTGACAAACCACACTAAAGAATAACCCTTGGTTGCCCATTCTTTTTCTACATACATGCTTCTTTCTGTTCCCCAGCTTAGGAAATCAGTATTAGGAAATCATTCAGTCTTCCCCTAACATAGTAACTGATCATGTATTTCTGAAGCTGTTGCCAAGGACAGAAAGCTATAAGAACCTCTCCTCCTGTGTATGCCTATCATTTCCATGTAGTGATGTTGTAGTGTTACGGTCTAAAGAGGTTGGCAAAGAAACATTGTAGATAGTGGTAATATCACGTCCTTCCGCCAATAAACCCCACTGCGCTCTCATTTCATGACACCCTGGAAGTAGGTCGTTTCAGATACCTGTTGCTTCATTGCACAGTCAAGGATACGGTTCATATACTTCACAACTATTTAGAATGCACTACATCGAGTACTGTGCAACCTTCTTCCTGACAAATATATAGCAAAGATTTTTATACAAATGAATTCAGCCATTTTTCTTTCTATTTTGGTTTGTGAATTGCCCTGCAAATCTTAAACTTGCAAATCAGTTCCTCCACTTCATTCCAGGAACTGCCAAAAGACAATATATTCAGAATTCGATGTAAGACCATATGTTCTGTTTTCAAAAGTAACTCTGACATGTAGGCATGTGTGCCTACAATCCTACTGATTTTCAACTCAACCAGCTTGCCCAAATGCATGGGTTGCTTTTGAGTTTAAATGTAGGCACTAGTGCAATAACTTAAAGTAAATTTTGTAAAAGTGCCTTTTCTCAAAATAATTACAGCTCAAAAATATAACTTTCATAAGTTCCCACACAAACTGCATAGAGTTCAGTGCATTCTAGGCACCCAGCTCCCTTACACGTGTCTGAAAATTTCCTTGCAATCGTAATTTCTAATCAAAACTGTGATTATGCTAAATATTCTTAAAACTGGTGTCTATTGCTACTCCATTTTTGGCTTCATTTCAGGCTTTCTTACCATCTGATGTCTGCTACACAATGAGGAAATCCTCTCCTTCCTGAAAGCAAAAATCCTAAACAGCTTTAAGGAAATGAAGAAATAATTTCTATTGAATTTCAGTTAATCCAAACCAGGGAGAAATTGGAAACCTAACCCCACATCAGCCAAAAATTAATCCAGTTTCCATGGAAATCAGCACCACTCTTTGAAGCCTATTATGGAGAAACTGAGAAGAGACATTATGTATGCTGGCAGCACACCTTGATATACATTCAAAATGTCTTGGCCTGCCTCCCTGCAGGTGTTATACTGGTCCTGACTCTTCTTCTACTGGAACCTCCTGCATTTATAAAAATTGAGCATGATGTACTCACTCTGTGAACAGCATTTGACAGTAAATGTATCAGTCAGAGGTAGCTAAGCAAGCAGCATGACGGTACCTTTGGTCACAGCAGAAGCATTAACTGTGGTGCTGATGGAGGAGGCTAGGGAAAAGCGACGGGTAACTTCTCTTTCCTTAGATTCTGGATCTGGGAGAATAGACAGACGCAATGCAGGGCAGGATTAGAGGTTAATAAGCACTGAGGGTAAAAGATGTCCAAAGCAAAGCAGCAGCTGGAAAAGGGTATATAAAAGGTAGGTTGCTCCTCTAAAACAGCCAGGAAAATTACCCTCAACAAAGTGAATAACATAGAAAAGGGTTTATATGAACATATTTTTTCAAAGCAATTCCAATTGCACCAATTTTAATACTTCAGAAGGGAGACTTATGCCAATTAATATTTTAGCAACCAACTAGTCTAAGTACAGCTACAAAGCACAGAGAGATGAGCATGATGGTTAGAATGGTGTGTGTGTCTACAGATGAGGTTTGGGTTATTTTAGACACTGAACTGCTTGTTCTGTGATGACTGACCTGAAATACACTGAAAAACAAACATGAATGGTTTGGAGTTCACATTTGTCATTTCTAGACGTTAACTGTGTGAATGCCTGAAAACGTTCTCTGAGTCTCCATCCGTACTGGTGCAAATCAACTTGGAGAAAGTGAAGACAACAGAGCTTTTTTTCGTTTACTCCAATTAGGATCCTGCCTTTTCTCAAAGTCCGCTCAAGAATGAAGACACAACTTCCTCAGATTTCACTGTGCGATCTGAGTAGCATTTTTGACTCAAAATGTTTCATAAACAGATCAGAGGTATAAATGGATGAACTGCCTGCTAGCTTCAGAGAGCACATGATGTTTCAAAACACGCTGAGGTCATGACGCAGTTCTTAAGAGATCTACAAGCACATCAGTACACTTCTTGCACCTACCAACTACAGCAGCACCACTTGGGAGAAAACATTGCTTGCCAACAAATATTTCAGGATTAACTTTTTAGTCTCTTCTGCTGAAAACACTCTAAGCACATGTGCTGCACTACTCAAGTGAGTATTTCCACTGAGACATGAGTAAAGCTGTTCATATGCTTCATATCTCAGTTTCAGTAAGATACTTGAACACTTAACTCTACCAGGACACAACCTCTGTTGAAAATGGTATTAGAAATGGCTTTAAATATTCTGTTGAAGATTTTCAGATTTGTCCAAAACTATTTGTGTTTTTCATGTTTTGATTTTTAAAAATATCAAAGAAATACTTATGTAAAAATTAAATAGTTTTTTCTATTTTCACTGAAAAAAATTCCTGGGATAGGCGAAGAGTTATTCCACACAAAACTCTTTGTAGCACATGTTTATATGCTTTGCTGAATCTTAGCCCAGATGTTCCCAGATGGTGCCTGTGATTCAGAGGGACTTTTCTATTCCAATTGTCTTCTTTCTTTTATCGTATCTATCTTCTTTTCTCTCTCTCTTTTTTCTCATGGTTAACTGGCATACAGCACTGGAGTAAAGTAAGTTTCAGGTGATTTAAAATTTCAGGTTTAAATACCCTGTGCAGAACTATACTACTGTGAAGATTTCCTTGCCAGGGATCTTAAAATTCTCTTTCCCATTCCTCATCTTCACATTTCCTTATTTTAATGTTCAGTCACACAACATTTCTCTTTACTTTGTTTTTTCCATATTTCTGCGTAGTAAATGTCACATTCACTGTATGTTTCCAGTGGAGCAGAAATTAGCGTGACTGGTTGCACAGCAATTCCTACAATGTTTTATTATGCCAAAACATCAGGAAACTGTATTAGCTCCTTAAAATCTCAGTGCAATTTTAACTGTAGATTGGCTACTGCAAAAAAGACTATAAATTCTCTATCGGCCAATGCACTTCCATATCAATTTACTCATAAAAGCACATATATTCAAGTACATAGTTATTCACACCTCCTAAAAGGCTGAAGAAAAATGAGAGGTTAAACTCTCCTCTCAGTGATAATTACAATGGAATGACTCCACATTTAGTCTTCTGTAACTGCCCTTATTAAAATACAAAGAAATTTTCACTTTATAACTATGGTGTTGGGCTACATTTACACCACATCATGCAGCTCTTAGAGACACTCCAAGGAATTCCTTGCCAACTCCAAGGACTGTGAGCTTGGCTCTGCAAACGAGGACAGCTAATGCCGACCCAAGCCGGGAAGATGCAGAGTGCTACGAGTGTGGGCTTCCACACACTTTGGTGTCAGTTCTGGTCTGGCTGCCTTGCGGTCTCTGCACTGATGGAGTGCAGGATGGTAAAGTTTCTCCTCCAGACATCAGCATTTCTTTGGCCAAAACACCAAAGTGCTTATATACAACTTTTTCTACCTCATCATCGCCAGCCTGGACAGACAGTTCAGCAATGCTTTGAACATCCATGCTCCACTGCCAGTTGATATCTATCAGGCAATCTTGGTTTTCCCCTACTTAGTCTTGTTATTTTATTCTTTAAACCTTCCCTTTTATGTGTTCTGGACATGAACAGACACAGTGGGTCTGAACCAAAGTCTGCCCAGCTCAGTATGCCACCTCTGGCCATGGCCAATAACAAATCCTTGGACAAAGGGCTCAAGAGCAGGACAAGCTCTTACTGCAGTAACTTCTCACAGCTTCCAATCTGCCTTAACAGCCAGTCCGTATAGTGCTAACACAGCTTTGCATCATCACTGCCTACAGAAATGACCACACTCTGCAAATCATCCAGGCTATTTGCCAACTGGTTTCCTCTATGCCAGGCCCAGATTAGCAACTGAACAGCACAAGAAAGTGAAATGGGACATTGTGTAACGGAGGTGCTTCACAGGAATCTCAAGTAACCAGACCCAGCAAGTCTTTGAGCAGAGAGTGCCTACAGCTTAGGGGATATGAATTCTTCTGAACCGTGCTTTGCTGTTGGAACACGGAATGACTGCATAAAATGCAAGACATTTCATGTGACCAGAAAAATTCAGATAAAAGACCAAAAGAGGCCCAAACCAAAACTGCAGATCCAAACTTGCCCAAATTACTGCATTTCTGAAATCTGTATTTTGTATTTGATTTATCCAAGTCACAGGATCTGAAAACCACTCCCTTTTTTGTATTCAGAACATTGAAGTGGTTTGTCCATCTTGGATCTCACTACCAAGTGCAGCCTTAATCTTGCAGCCAGAATCTTATGGCTGCTCTGGCTCTTGGTGTATTCTCATCTACTTTATAACATTGTAATTTTTATTCTTTCATCTTGCTTCTTCCTCCTTTGATGTTCACCCTCTCTATCACTGCACACTAACCCTTTGTCTCACAGAAGAAATAATTTATCAGAACAGGAGAAAAGTCATAAAATAACAATAAAAAGAGTAATTATATTATATTTGCAGAAAGTAATTGGAAATAGTAATGCAATTTCATTTCTATTCACATTTCTTTCTTTCCTCTAAAGTCTTTTCCTTGTACAGCCATCACAGGAACATGCAATGCTCTCTACTCATGGATATTAAGTCTCTTCTAAACATCTGTGCACAAAGACTCAGAACACACCATTTTACAGTGTCATATAACATAATTAAGTAGAAATGGCAATAAACCCCAGATCTTCTGAATTCCAGTTCCTCAGTATAACCACTAAGCCATGGCTAAGCAACATTTGAAAAAACAAAGAGGTCCAACCAATGAACAATTTAACACATAAAAACCTCATGTGGCACAACACAATGGTACTCTTCCCTTCAAGCCAGTAAACTGCTGAAAGAAGTTAGGTTGGTGGTTTAAAACATGTTCACACTTTGGCCCTTGAGAGAAATGGTTGCCTTGCCAACACCGCCATGGGAGCAATTTTTGGTAACAGCATCTTTGAGAAGAGGAGCCATATGTGTGTATCAGACAGGAGCATTTTGGTGAGATGCAGCAGCACTTTAGGAAATAGTGATGGATGGCACTATGGGATGGAGAGAACATTGTGGGAGTGCGGGGGACAGATGGCCAGAGACCAAATGCTGCATGGGGTGATTTTACCTTTGGGTGGAGCTCTGCGGTTGGAAAGACCTTGCAATGTGAATCGCTTTCTAGCAAGCGCTGTGCGCTCAAGGTTAAGGCTGGTGGAAGCATCAACTAGGAGAGAGAGGGAGAGGGAAGAGAAAAAAGGAAGGAAGGGTCAGCTGTTCAGCGTATGGGAAAGGAAAGGTTAGCACTGGATGACAAAATAAATAAAAAAATTTTGATTCAGTTCAAGCCTGAGCAAGAGCTAATCAATTAGAAAGGTGACATGAGGTCAGGGTGATTAAACCAGCTGAGCCAAACAGAGCCCCTGGGTTGAGTTTGGCTCACTGAGTTTTAATGTAGACCAACAGCAACAAAAAAAGAACAAAGAAAAACAGGTGAAGGGATGTAGCTCTCATCAAAGGAAAATACAGTTTAGCAGCAAGCTCATTAAAAAGGATCTAGTGACTTTTACAATGAAAACACATCACTGTGGTTGGAACAGCAAGGTTGTAGGGAACAATAAGAGAAGAAGCCTTGCAGTGCAGGACACGTACAGCCAGCCAGTGTTGCGAGCAGTCCCACTTCTGCTATCCAGTACTAGCACTGAAGAGCCTGCCATCATCAGCCCTGTGGCTGATACACTCTCAGCCTTACCTGCTGAAGTCTTTCTAACAGCCTCCAAAGCTGGCATATAGTCATGCATTTGATCTCATGATTTGCTGGGATGTACGGAATGCCATGCCAGCAAAGCTTACATGCCAGGCTCCTACATGAATAAGCCAGCCATGCTGCCTGACAGTCGCCTTTATAGAGATAAGTCACAGATGGATCTAGGTCCTGAGACTCTGGGTTTGAAAGATACTCAGTTACTTGCATTGCAGGAAAGAGGTGGACCTAGATCAACCCCCCAAATCCATGCATCCCTGCCAAATTCTGCATCTGCCCCTTTCTTTGTGTGGGCAGGTAGCACACAGAAGGTTTATGGCAAAGGAGCAGGAGAAAAGCCATGTGTTGGCTGCCTGGTTCTGTGCCTTTAGGATTTAACCACTAGCTTTCTCCTCCTCTTTATTTCATACACTGCCAAGTGAAAATCATTAGAGGCACAAATGAAGACCAGAAGTACAAAGGGAACATGAAGAGACAGTGAATCCACACTGATGGACAAGCAACAAACAGACAAGCTGTGCTTCCAAAGGAAAGCGCATCCCATCACTTCCTGATTTGCAGCCAAGATAATCCAGGATCGGAGGTGCCTGCATGCGTAGGTGGGTGTGAGATGAACAGATTTTAGCAATACAGAAGATTTATGTCGGTGTGGTTCAGCTTCTTCCAGCCCGTGGCCTGATGCCAGCTCTGGGCCAGGCAGGTGCATCTGGTGAGGAACTGCCACCGAGCAGCAGTTTCAGCGGTGGGGCTGCCCACAGGTGCACTGGGAAGCATTTGACTTTCAGACTGCCTGTGTTGGCCTAAGAGCCGTTCCCTGCCATGGCTGCTCCCACTGCCAGGCAATCTTTGTAAAGATACTGTAACTTATAAAGAATCCATAAACTGGTATATAAAATATCTTTACTTTCTGTTTGTGTAGAGAAAAAAAATCCATAGTATTTGATTATCACAGAGTCATGCAGCAAGTACAACCATGCGTGTGTATAGGGGGAAGGTTTATATGCTAGTTCTTTAGCTATGCAATTATACCACTTCACTGACGGACCCTTTAGGATTTCACAAGTCCCCACAGCTTCCCAGCACCAGCCAACCACCAGGGACTGGTCTCTAAAGACATGTTGTCTCCACTTGAGTTATTTCAAACCTTTTCCTTCATTCTGCAGGTATACCAAATAATCCCAGAAACCATTTCCAAACATAGTAAGAACTAAGTCCTGATGGGCAACAGGTTGAACATGAGCCCGCAATGCATGCTTGTGGCAAAGGCGGCCAACAGCATCTGGGCTGCATTATGCAGAGCCTTGCCAGCAGGTCTGGGGAGGCGATGCTTCCCCTCTACTCAGCACAAGTGAGACAAACCTCGAGTGCTGTGATCTGTCTTGGGCTCCCCAAAACATGAGAGACATGGACATACTTGAGTGAATCCAGTGAAAGGCCATGAAGGTGATTAAGGGATTACAGTAGCTGACATGAGGAGAGAGTGGGAGAGCTGGGACTGTTCAACTTGGAGAAGAAAAGGCACAGGGGGATCTTATCAATGTACATAAATTCCTAATGGGAGCAAGTAAAGAAGATGGAGCCAGACACTTGTCAGTGGAGCCCAGTGACAGGATGAAAGGCAATGGGCACAAATTGGCATATGGGAAATTCCATTTTAAAATAGTAAAGGACTTTTTTTACTGTGAAGGTGGTTAAAGACTAGGACAGCGTCCCGAAGGCGGTTTTGGAGTCTCCACCCTTGGAGATATTCAGAACCCAACTGGACACGGCCCTCAGCAACTTGCTCCAATTGACCCAGCTTTGAGCAGGGTGGTTAGACTAGGTGGTCTCCAGAGGTTCCTGCAGGACTCGACTCCCATACAGCTTCAAATCAGTGAATCTACCAATCAGGTCCACACAAAATACTGTTTTATATGTAGATAACTCAATCACAGGCACTTGTCCATAAGAATAATGGAACTGAAATAGCTTGCTAATAGTGCCCTCCCCCTCTGTACCATAGAAAGAAAACAGTATTTTAAAATAATTTGAGCTATTGGGAGTATTACAGTCAGTAGGTGGCACAGAAGAGACAGTTTTGGCAGAGGACCAGACTCCGTGCTGCTTCTGTACTGCAGACTAGCACAGCCACGAGGGCCGCACCTCTGAAAACGGGACCTAACCGTACATTTAAAAGCGGAGTCCCCGCGAGAGGCTCTGGTGCCTCCCAGGGCCACAAATCACCGTTTCGGTGGGACATCTGGAGCCGGACGGCTCTTCCCCCGGCGCCCCGCACAGCGCGCTGCCCCGCCGGGAGTGAGTGGTGCGGGGCGCTGCGCCCCGCGGGGTGGGGAGGCTCCCGGCTGAGCCAGCAGGAACTACTGCAGCGGGAGCCCTGAGGAACGGGGCATGGGAAAGCAGAAGGATGAAAATCTGCATACAGGGTGATCCCAGTTCCCACACTCTTGTGTAAGTTGGACCGGTTGAAAAATACCAATAATTTTCCTGGAACTTTTTTTAAAAATAGGGTTTATGAATTTCAAATGAAAGACTGCTTTTCAACTTTTTTTAAAAAATTATTTTTTAAAAATCATATTTCTAAAAAAGAAGTTTTTACTTAATAAAATCGGATTTTTTAATGAAGAATCCATAACTTTCTTGCCAGAATGAAAACTTATTGCAATGAAAAATCTTTTGGTAAATAGCCTATTTTTCAAAGAAAAAAATATTCAACATTTTTTTACCATCTCTGTTTATAAAGGGGCCTGCTGTTACTTTAAGCCTGATTTAGACATTCATCTCTTCTTTTAAGACCTCACAATTTTCTTTTTTATATTATTAGAAAAGTCATTGCTCAAACATTTCAAAACACTACCTAAAAGAGAAACTGATGTTGAAAGATTTTCTGTTCCTGCTACTGTCAGATGACATCCAGTTTCTTTTTAGTATTCATTTTAACCTACATTGTACAGAATACATCTACTGTATTTATGGCCTCAAATAGTGGAGGGACTTTCAGTGATCGCATGTGTGTTTATTTACTACACGCTAGAGGGGAACCTATACACAGAGGAGGCAAAAAAATCTCTTCGACATAAAGCAAAGAGATTTGTTAGCAAAGTCCATTGACAATCTTAATATTAAATATGGCTAGAAACCAACTTAGCCAGGATATAGAAGGTTAAAACACACATACTATCACCTGAAAATTCTGTTTTTAAAAAACACGAGTTGTATAAAGAGCACTGTAATGCATCAAAATTCATACTTAAAAAATCCTAATCTGGTAACACTTTTTGGTGTTCAAGAAGTTTCACAGTACAGTCATACAGCTTTGCAGCACTGTTTTTTTTTATGTTGGGTTTAAACAACACACATTTAAAGTATCCTCATCAAACTCTAGAAATGAGTGTGCAAAATTAAAAATACTACCCTTTGGAAGCAAAAAGCTCTGTGTCAGAACTCCTACCTCTCTTTTGTCTGGAGCTGGGACTGGAATTCCTGTTTTTATTGTTAGATGCTTCCACGTTTGATGTCTCAGATTTGCTTTCATATATACTTGATGACTTCCTGCTATACCTGTGGACAAAAGAAATACAAAAATAGTTACATTCCT